CTAAGCAAGTCCTCCAGTTAAATATTTTACTTTAAAAGTTGTCCTGGTCATGGTGGTTCCTCATAACAGAACAATTAAAGCATAGGGTATAGAGTCCTTTGGGTACATGCCCAGGAACAGTATGGCTGGCTCATATGCTAGTTCCATGTTTAATATCTAAGAATGTTCTGTGCTCATTTCCACAATGGCCTTGCTCGTTTTTTTCGGTCCCACTGAAAGTACTAAGGTTCCCTTCTCCTTGGTCTTTGCCAGCACTCGTTATCTTTCAGATAAGAGACATGCTTGCTTAATCCCAGCCCAAAGAAAGGTTGTAGGCAGAAAGATCAGGACTTCAAGGACATCCTCAGTCACCACAGTGAGGCCAGCTGAGACTACATGAGACTGTATCTCAAAGAAAGAAAAAGGAAAAGAGAGGGTGGGGTGTGTGTGTGTGTGGTGGTGGTGGCACACGTCTTTGATCCCAGTATTCAGGAGGCAGAGGCAGGTGGATCTCTGTGAGTTCAAAGCCAGCCAGGTCTACAGTGGGAGTTTAGGACAGCCAGGATTGTTAAACAGAAAAACCCCATCTCAAAAACCGAGCCAACCAAACAAATAAATAAACTGGAGAGACTGAGAGATGGCTCAACAGTTAAGAGCATTGGCTGCTCTTGCTGAGGACCTGGGTTCAGTTCCCAGCACTCACATGCAGGTTCACAACTATCCCTAATTCCAGTTCCAGGGAATCTGATAGCCTCTTCTGAACTACATGGGCAGCAGGCATGCAAAACATCCATACACATAAAGTAATCTAAGACAGCTTCTGAAAAACTGGATTTCAGTTGCATCCCATGGAAAGCTTCCAGAGAGGAGAGCTATGTCCTGATCTCATTGGGACTGATCTGTGTCCTTAGAGTGTGCTATATTTCCATGGAAACTAAAACTGGCAAGAAAGAATAGTTTAATGGTAGTCACCACATTCACACAGCCCCATCTTAAATCTATCCTGACATAAAGATGTCCCATGGCTTAGGCCGGCTGCAAAATCCATAAGTAGGGGCTGAAGAGATGGCTCAGCAGTTAAGAGCACTGGCTGCTCTTCCAGAGGATCTGGATTCAATTCCTAACACCCACGTGGCAGCTAACAACTGTCTGTAACTCCTGTTCCAGGGAATCCAACACTCTCACAGAGACATATATGCAAGCAAAAATCCAATGTACATAAAATACAAATAATTTATTTTTAAAAAACTCCCTAAATAACTGAGAATGACTATGAACTACTACCAATCTTCCTGCCTCCACCTCCCACATGCTGTGTTCACAGACGTGCCCGCCTAGTTTATGCAGTGCTGGGTATCAAACCCAGGGAGGGCCTCGTGCATGCTAAGTGAGCACCTACCCAGCTACAACCACCACCCTTTAAATCTCAACTGGAAACATAGATGTGGTTCTGACTAAAGCTCAGCTTTCACAGTACACTAAAACCCAGTCTCAGCCACTTGAGTTGGTCACATGTAATCCCAGCACTCGGAAGGCTGAAGCCCGAGGAAGTTTGAAGCGAGCCATCTGAGAGGAAACAGTTCATTGTGAGCTCAGAGACCTATGCCTAAGGATGGGAAGCACCCTGGGCATTCAAGGGCTTTTGTCGTCAACAGTTTCTCATCACAGATCCACTAATTTTTTTAAGTCATGTATTAATTCATCACTGTCTTTAGAAAATTTGTTTTTAGTCTGGTCTACACAGCGAGTGCCAGGATAGGGTCCAAAGCTATGGAAAAACAACAACAAAAAGGCTTGCTTTTATTTTTAATCTTTGTTTTTATGTGGGTGTGCCTGTACATGTGTAGGAGCGATGAGAGCATGGGATCTCCTAGAGCTGGAGTTGCAGGCCAGCAAACTCTCTCTGAACAGCTCAGCCATCTCTCCAGCCCCAGTCTTTAATTTTTTTGAGACAGGATTTTACCATGTATCCCGGCTGGCATGATATTCACTACGGAGACCAGACTGTCCCTAGTCTCTCAGGTGTTGGGGTGACGGGTGCATATCACCAGACTTCTAGCTTGGTTCTTCTGAAGGTGATTTTGGAAAGTATGGGTTGTTATGGCTGAACTGAAGGTTTTCCTTCAGGTTCATACCTCCAGAATTTGCTACAGTCCCCTGTCCACAGTGAGTTCTTCACAAAAGCTTCTGGAAGGTGTGCAAAGTTCACATTTCACAAGCTCTTGACAAAGATAATGTTGCTGATTAGAAGATGCTGGGAGAAGACTTTGACTTGCAAGGGAGGTTACCTGTGTGCTGTTACAGCACACGTTCTGGAAGTTTACAGAACAAATACTCCAAAAATATGTTCCACCTTCTCCCAAGTGAGAGGGCCATCCTGACCTTGTTGGTTACCTTATACTGCCTGATAGCACCAGAGAGAAAACTGAGCCAGAGCTATGCTGGCAGGAGACATTCTGCAGACATCTGGATAACCTCACCCTTCCCCATCTTGAAGCAAACATGGACATTTGGCTACTTGTCCCAAGACTGTCAATAGGCTCAGACCTAAAGCCCCCACCCTCCTGCCTCTCTGGGCTGTGTGCATTGTACGTACATTTTCAGGTCCCCAGACAGCAAGCAGACTGTGGGTCTAGGGAAGGACCTATGTTACTCAGAGTCCTGGCGGGGTGTGAAGGAAGTTTCTCTGATCTTCCCTGTCCACTTAGGAATATGGACCAGACCAGGGTGGAATCACAGAGACTTTTATTTTTAGGTCAACAAAGTAAATAACAAACAAACAAAATCAAGCAGTGATTTAAAGGAAATGCATGGGCTGGAGTATGATTCAGATGACCCCAGCGCCACACAAACTAGGATTGGTGGCTTTTGCCAGCACATGGGTGAGAAGGCAGGAGGCTCACAAGTTCCAAGTCAAATTAAGGGGTTTTGTTTGTTTGTTTTGTTTTTTGTATGTTTTGTTTTGTTTGTTTTTGTTTTTGGTTGTATTTGTTTTGTTTGAGGCAGGTTACTCAGCGTAGCCTTGGCTGTCCTGGAACTCGCGCTGTAGACCAGGCTGACCTCGAACTCATATGAGATCTGCTTGTTCTGCCTCCCAAGTGCCGGGATTAAAAGTGTGCACCATCACTGCCTGGCTCAAAGTCGAGTTTAATGTTGGCTTGGGCTACTACAGCTGCCTTAAAACACTGTGCTTCGCCATCCCCTTTAAAGCCAGTGTATTGATGCAATGGACAGATGCAGCTACCTCCGGTCCTAACCAAGGCTTCAGTCCCGAAGTGTCCACTGCAAAGGGTCCCCAAGGCTTCTCTGTGGTACAGAAATGACTCTGTCAGGTCCTATTACAAGCTTCCTCATCCCTGCCTGGCACCTTCAGGGAAGAGCTCCCCAAGAGGCAGGGGATAAGCAGGCCCACGCCTACCCCACACCAAGCATCCTCTTTCCCTTTGTCTAAGCTCCTTCTCCTTGTCCCACATTGGGCTAGGAGACCTGAAATCCCTGCGGCTGGGTATGGCCCCAGGCACACTGGATTGATGGTGACCCATTCTTCTGGGCTGGTCTGCTGGCCTTGTGAATCAGACTATGCTGGAAGTGCCTACTAGAGACAAGGAGAAATTACTACATAGCTTTCAGTGACAATCTGTGTGTGCACACGTGTGTACACACGAGTGTGGAGTCCATGGAGGAAGTTGGGTGTCTTCCTCAAGTGCTCGTCATATTATTACTATGTAGCCAGCCTGGCTGCCTCCCAATGTTGGAATTAAAAATTAAAAGCATGCCCCACCATGCCTGACCATCCACCTTAATTTTCCAAGCAGGATCTCTCATTGAACCTGGAGTTTTTTGATTCAGCTAGACTGACTAGCTGGCGAATGAGAGCCCCAGGCATCCTTTTGTCCTTACCACTCCAGCATTGAGATGATGACGGTACCACTGCACCTGGATCCAATGAAAACTTTCTTCTCTGCACTCTGTCCTCCTGAATCCAGAGTGCTGGGATTACAGGCATTTGTGCATCACCCCCGTCTGCTGTTGGGATTGGAACCCAGAGCTTTGTGAGAGCTACACACCTGCTACAGTCACTGTCACACCCCCAGCTCTAGGTTGCATTTTCATAGTAGCTATTCCAACCAGTGTGAAGTGACTGGCTCATTGTCCCTTATGGTTAGTGAAGCTGAGTATCTTTCCATGGGCTTATTAAAGCTTTGTCATAAAACAAACAGGATATTCAGTAGCCAGGCCAGGGGTAAATCAAGGCAGGTACCAAACCCTGAGGGCCTCTCAGCACATCCTAGCTGTCCCAGGCAAACACCTCCCAGAGAACAGTGGCTCCGAGTCAACAATTGAGAACTTAACGTACACTCCCAATTAAACAGAGTAAAAGAGCCAAGAGGTACAGTAAAGAGAAAGGACAGGCTGGACAGGTGGCTCCGTTAATAATAGTGCTGCTCTCTTTCAGAGGACCCGGTTCAGGTCCCAGAACACATATTTGGTGTCCCACAATGACCTATAGCGCCACCTCCCCTCTATGAGATGCCCTCTTCAGGGCTCCACAGGGACTGCACTCATGTGTAACACCCATGAAAGACAAAAACATCTGTACATAATCTTTTGTTGTTGTTGTTTTGTTTTGTTTGTTTGTTTGTTTGTTTTTTAAGATTCACATATATGATTGCTTTGCCTGAGCCTGGTGCCCAAGGAGGCCAGAAGGGGCATCAGATATTCTGGAACCAGAGTTACAGATGGTTTTTGAACCATCATGTGGGTGTAGGAACTGAATCTGTGTCCTCTGCAGCCCCCCAAATCAGTTTTGTATAAAGATCTGCCTTCAATGTTGGAAGATCTCACATTGTCTCTGCCCCTTCCGTTACTCTGCCTTTCTGGCATTTTCCTAGCTACTTACTGTTTATTTCCCCAGTATAAAGGCAAGGCTCAGTTTATCTAGTGCCAGCCGTGTCTTCCTCCACTGCCCCCTCTTCAGTGGCACGTGGCAGGGACTCTAAAACTTGTACTTTACTTTCCAGATGACAGGAGACATACAAAGCCCAAGACGCCATGAGAGGACCACCCAGGTAAGCACCTGCTCTCCCACCGTGCTGGTTGAGGGCTGCCCCTCCCCGGGCACCATATTCTCCTGTTCTCTTTCATTCTTTGAGATAAGGTGTCCCTACATAGTCCTGGCTGGCCTTGAATTCAGAGATCTGCTAGCTTTTGTCTCCCAAGTGGAAGATTAAAGGCGTGTGCCGCCACCACCTAGCTCTACTATGCTTCCTATACACTCCAAGGCTTTAGGGGTGACCAGGCTCCAAATCCCTTTGTGACTACACAAGGTATTTGGTTCTGTGTGTATATGGTGTGAGTGTGTGTGTGTGTGAGTGTGTGTCATGTAAGCTGGAAAGCCCACAGCCTCCTACACTGACCCGCTCTCTGCCTCAGCTCTGAGCTTTGGAACCAGAGAACCAATCATTTGTTCAGCTCCCATCACTGAGAGATGGAGGGACATCCCTTGACCCAGCTCAGCTCTGTACTGCCTGCATGTCCCTGCACTATAAGGCGACCACTGTACTTGTCCTGCTGCAGAGATCAGGAAACCCTCTGGAAGGAATCCAACCCTGCACATCAAATTCAGCCTTTCTTTTTACTTTTTGTAATTAAAAAAAAAAAAAAAAGATTTATTTTATTCTGTGTCTGAGTTTGTGCCACCTTGCCCAGGTCTGAAATTCAACTTTTCATTAACTAATTTGGTTTATTGAATACAAAAGTTTAAGAATCCACCAACTGGCTGGGTAGTGGTGGCACACCACACGCCTTTAATCCCAGCACTCAGGAGGCAGAGGCAAGATCTCTGTAAATTTGAGGCCAGCCTGGTCTACAGAGCAAGTTCCAGGACAGCCAGGGATACACAGGAAAAACAAAACACAAAAACAAAAAACAAACAAACAAACAAAAACCTGTCTCAAAAAGAAAAAAACAAAAAACAAACAAACAAACAAAGAAACAAACAAACAAAACAAAACAAAAAAACAAAACAAAAAAAAAAAAAAAAAAAAAAAAAAAAAAAAGAATCCCCCAACTGTGGCCCATGGCTTTTATTCTAGCTAGCACTCAGGAAGCAGAAGCTGGCAGAGCTCTGTGAGTTTGAGCCAGTCTTATTTACATAGGGAGTTCCAGGCCAGCAAGAGATAAACAGTGAGACCCTGTCTCAAAAAACAAAACAAGGTCGCTGGCCTTCCCTCTTTCTTTCTGTGCCGATATCACTCCCGCCAACATGGTGAATGTTCCTAAGACCCGCCGGACGTTCTGCAAGAAATGTGGCAAGCACCAGCCCCATAAAGTGACACAGTACAAGAAGGGCAAGGACTCTTTGTATGCCCAGGGAAAGCGGCGTTATGACAGGAAACAGAGTGGATATGGTGGGCAGACTAAGCCCATTTTCTGAAAAAAGGCTAAAACTACAAAGAAGATTGTGCTGAGGCTTGAGTGTGTTGAGCCTAACTGCAGATCTAAGCGGATGCTGGCTATTAAGAGATGCAAGCATTTTGAACTGGGAGGTGATAAGAAGAGAAAGGGCCAAGTGATCCAGTTCTAAGTTGATCTTGTTATGAAGACAATAAAAGAAACTCACCTCATTTGATTGTGGTTGGTCTTTTGGGAAGGAATAAACTGAAACTATCGAAACAAAAACAAAACAAAACAAAAACAAACAAACAAACAAACAAAAAAAAAAAAAAACAGAACTGGAGAGATGGCTTAGTGGTTAAGAGCACTAGCTGCTCCAGAGGACCCAGGTTCAATTCCCAGCTCCCACAGGGTATCTTACAACTGTCTATACTTCCTGTTCCAGGGGATCTGACACCCTCACATAGACATACACACAGACAAAACACCAATGTACATAAAATAAAAAATAAATTATTAAAAAAAAGAAAACCCAACCAACCAAAGAGACAAAAAGGATCCCCTGACAGTCTAGAAAGTTGCTGATTTGTTCTCAGAGCCCTTTAAGGGATTCACTGTAATAACACAAAGGAGCTTATGAAAGTTGGGGTGATGAGTGTCAGAGGACAGTCCTTGGGATGGGGAGATGGCTTGGTCAGTAAAGTACTGATGTGTAAGGACCTGAGTTTAATCCCAGCTCTGGGAGGCAAACACAGTCTGAGACCTCAGGCTTGCTGGCCAGGCAACCAAACCTCATTAGTGAGCTTCAGGTCCTGGTTAGGGGTTCTGTCGCAAAAGACAGCTCGTGACGAACAGCGTCCAAGGACGTTTTATCTTTTGATGGAGAGTAGAATAAACAGGGTTGAGATCTGACTTGAAAATTCAGGTGTCTGGGAATGGACTAACAAAAACCATATGCCCCTCAGGTCCTGAACCTGGTAGAAGGTAGTGTCCTCTCAGCTCAGCCCCATCAAAGCTCCATGGCTGTCCTTTTCGTTAGCTGGAGTGAGCCCAGGTGCCCACCTCCAGTTATGGCCTTTGTTTTTGGAGACAGGGTTTCTCTAGCTTTGTAGTCTGTTCTGTAACTCACTTTGTAGACCAGGCTGGCCTCAGACTCAGAGATCTATCTGCCCTTGCCTCCTAGTGCTGGGATTAAAGGCATGGACCAGCAAGGCTTAGGAAGAGTGTGGTGTGACATTTGTCATTAATGTCTATAGTACAAGAGATGTGGGTGTCACACTGGGAGCCTTTGGTGCCTTCTATGACTTCTGGTTAGAGTTTTGTTTTTTTTTGTTTTTTTGAGATTGTATAAGGGCTGTCATCCAGTGATTATCAGTGGACTCTCTGTGAGACAGGCAGATCTTGAATTCTTGATCTTCCTGTCTCCGCCTCCCAAGAGCTGGGATTACAATTGTGTGCCACCATACCTGACTGTAATTGTGGTCATTGAAAAGGGGACTCCAGGACACACTGAGTGGCTCTTTCCCTTTGCCAAGAGGTCTGATGACATACACATGGCACAGCTGTTAAATGCCTTTCCTATCCAGATCTGGGTGGCAACATTGCTCAACAGTTTCTCTGGAGTTGGGGCAATCCTGTTCCCTCCCCCAGCTTAGAGTTCTGGTTTTTATAAACACACCCAGTTACAGCCAAGAGCCTTTGGTAGGAAGGGCCTTCCACAGACGGGGAAAGGTCATCAGCCTGCTCCCAGCAGGAGTCTGATCGACCTGACACCCTCAACTGCAGGAGGGACACATCTGGGGCTCCATGAGGAGGACGGCTCTCATCCTGGGCTCTGGGCTGCTCCTGTCTGTAGCCTTCTGGAACTCAGTCACATGGTAAGTGTGCTCTAGACCTTTGGGATGAGAGGCAAGGCATGAAAGAGCTGGCTTTCCAGTCTTCTCCCAGAAACATAAATATCTTTTTCCTTCCAAGGCATCTTCAGAGATTTTGGGGTGCTTCTGGCTACTTTTGGCAGACCCAATGGGAGAGACTGCTGTCTACATTTGAAAGCAATGAGTGGATCCTGTTCATTATAGGTGAGGTTCCAGCCAGAGGGCTGTATGTTGGACTCCACACTTGCTCTTTTCCCACACTACTTTATTATCATTTATTGTTTTATTTATTTATTTATTGGTTTTTCGAGATAGGGTTTGTCTGTATTGCTTTGGAGCCTGTCCTGAAACTAGCTCTGTAGACCAGGCTAGCATTGAACTCACAGAGATCCGCCTGCCTCTGCCTCCCAAGTGCTGGGATCAAAGGCGTGTGCCACCATCACTTGGCTTTTTCTTGTTATTCTTAAAGATGCTATATCAGCATTTCTATGTGGTGTATTTGCTTCCTGTCGCTTTTTCACTTGAGGATTTTCCCAACTATCCTGCAGAATGAGTCTACCAATGGCCTTCCCACACTGGCCAAGTCCTTCCTGTATCCTTCCTACCCCAGATACCATGTTTGCTGGGGAAGGAAAGAACTAGAGGAAGGGGACAGAGGCAGAGCTTAATGAAACAATGTCTTTGTCCATCGGGATTCTCAATCCAGTAAGAGGCCACAGTAGTTAGGCACCACTACTGTATCCCTGGACGACTGCCACAGGTGGGAGATTAGGGACATGAGAATGTGGCATGCATTGTCTCAGTCAGTATTTTCTTAATTTTTACTTGTTATTGTGTGTGTGAGATGGGTGGGGACATGCACATGCCGTATTATGTATGTGGAGGTCAGAGGACAAGTCCAAAGACTGTTGCTCTCTTTGCACTTTTACATGGTTTGGGGGGTGGAGCTCAGGTCATGGGGTTTATCTAGCAAGAGCTTTATCCACTAAGATGCCCTGCAGGCTCTATGTTTCTTCTTCTTGACATAGGATTTCATGTATCCCGGGATGTTCAAGAATGGGCTATGTGGCTGAGGATGGCCATTGAACTTCCAAGCTTCCTGCCTTCCACTAATATTTTCTACAAGTTTTTGTTTTTCAAGACAGGGTTTCTCTGTATCTCCATACATGAAATGACATGCCAGACAGTGGTGGCACAAACCTTTACTCCCAGCGCTGGGGCAGATTTCTGTAGGTTCAAGAACAGCCTAGTCTACAGAGCAAGTTCCAGGACAGGCTCTAAAGTTACAGAGAGAGAGACCCCCTCTCAAAAGACAGTGTTTCTCTATGTTAACAATCCTAGCTGTCTTGGAACTAGCTCTGTAGACCAGGCTGGCCTTGAACTCAGAACTCAGAGATTAAAGGCATGTGCCACCACTGCCCTGATTCTAAAATGTTTTATAGAGCATCGGTACTGGGAATAAGAGACCAGGCAGTTAGTTTTGGTGGCACATGCCTTTAGTCCCAGCACTAGGGAGGCAGAGGTAAGCAGATCTCTGGGAGTTCAAGGCCAGTGTGGTCTTCAGAGCTAGTTCCAGGACAGAGAAACCCTATCTTGAAAAGAAACAAAACAAAATAAAACAACCCAACAAAACAAAAGAAACAAACAAACAAACAAAAAAAAAAAAAAAAAAAAAAAGAAAGAAAAAGAAAAAAGAAAGAAAAAGAAAAGAAAAAAAGAGACCAGGCAGTCAAACTGCTTTACCATCCAAACAGGAACACTTGAGAGCAAAAGGGAACAGCATCAGTAACTGTGCTGAGAGGGTACAGCAGCGGTTATTCCAGAAGGCAGCAGAGGCAGGGTGACTGCTGGAAGTGAGTGAAACCCTGTCTCAAAGCAAGTCAAAAGAACAAAACAAAACCCCAAACCACACATGTGGTGGTACACACCTTTAATCCCAGCATTTGAGAGGCAGAGGCAGGGGGGAAATCTGTTATGAGTCAAGGTCAGCCTGGACTACAGTGAGAGCCTCTGACCCCATAATGAGGATGCTCCAACTCCCCCTGCTCTCTGCCTCAGGAACTGCCCTCGTGCCTGGGCTGTGCTTCTGGGCCTTCAATGGCCTTCTACTGGTGGTGGACACAACAGGGAAACCCAACTTCATCTCCCGCTACCGCATCCAACTGGGCAAGAATGAACCGGTAAGTGTCACTGCAGCTCTTAGTTCTGGGAATACAGGGACCAAAGTTAGGGCAAGATAAAGACTTACCTTTGAGGTGACCTGAATCCAGAGAGTTAAAGAAGGGGAGCTGGAGGGTGGGGTAAAAGGCTTATCTAGCCTCAAAGAAGCCTTGGGTTCCACCTCCAATGTACATGTGGGGGTGTAGAGTCACTCAGGGAAGCAGAGGCAGGGGGATTAGAAGTTCAAGGTCATCCTTGGCTACACAGGATGTTTGAAGGTAACTAGGGCTACATGAGATCCTGTCGATCCTGTCTGCTTCCCAAGTTCTGGGATCAAAGGTGTGCGCCACCATCATCCAATGCAACCTGTAGAGTGAGCTGTCAAGACAGCCACAGTAAAGGAGGGAAAAGTCCTAGCTCCTAAGCAGCTGCATTTACTCACTGTATTCGGGACCTGCCTTCCTGGTGCCAAGCTGCAGAGACAGTCTTCCCTTACACAACAGGGCAGTGGCTGACTCTGAAAACAAGCTGTCCCCTCAGCCCCACCCAAACCCTGTCTTGGCAATCTGCTCTTAATCTTCCCAGGTGCCCGGTGAGTCACCTTTGCCCTCAAGGCAGTCTGCCCAGCCTGACACCAAAGGCAGCAGTGTAGAAAGGAGTCCTGATGGAGTCCCCTGAAATGGTCCCCTCCTGAGATGGCAGCTGCCAGAGAGCTGGGAGAACTTCCTCCAATCCACCCTGGCAGACCGGACTGGAGCCCTTTGTTAGTATCTGACCCTTAAGACCGTTTTGTCTATAGGCCTGCTGTCTCCAAAGCAGCCACCATTGACAACATGCCTTCATCTTTAAGGCCGAGCACTGTAATGACTGTCATGGTTCAGATGAGGCTTTGTCATGGTCCCTGGGTAGGACATGAGACAGACTAGAATCTCTTCTCCCATCCCAAACAGGGTCTCATGTAGCCCAGGCTGGCCTCTATCTTGCTAAACAGCTGAGAATAATCTTCCTTCCTCCACTTCAGTGGGTTATGCTCCAAGGACACAAAGAGGGCACTCTACCCACTGAGCCATGTCCCAGCCCCACCCTGGGCCTTTGCAGGTCCAGGGCTCCTACAGACCCCCAGTCTACAGCTCTGTATACCACGTGCCACCTAGAAAGCTTCCTATATGCAGTGACTAGACAGCACTCAGCAGTGTGGGGCCTCTCTGAGGCCAAGGTCTAGAGGTGAGTGACCTGCCCAAGTTTCAGCTTTCCAGGTCACAGAAGCAGAGTTCAATCCATTAGCTCCAAGGCCAGCACACCCATGCTTCAGACTTTCTGAGGACACATAAGGATGGACCTTGGGACCATCTAATGCCTGGCTAGCTGTAAGAGGTGCTGACTTTAGGAGGATCCCAGAACAGACTGCAGTGGAAGCTGAGGGTGGCAGGAATTCCTAGGATCCTGGCCTGCCCACACATTCTTTCATCTCTTTCTTGCTTATGCACACCTCTCCTCTCCCAACTCCTGCTTCCTAACCCGGTCCCCATTGTACTGAGGGAATGAGAGCCCAATGCCCAGCTCCCATAGCGTTAGGTCTCATGCCGTATTTTGGGTTGCACCAGCCACATCTCCTGGCTCCTATCTATCCAGGAAAACAGCTTCGGCATTCTCCCTTCTTTCTTACTATTTATTCTCTCTCCCAACCCCAGCTCTTTGCATTATCACATAAATGTTTTACTGTTTCCATCTCTAAGACATAAAGCACAAACCTGGAAGTCCAGCTGAGAGGGAGGCAAGAGGATAGATTGGGAGTTAATGCCTGCTTGTGCTACATGAGATTTTCAACACTTTTTCTTTTTTTAATGTGACAGTGTTTTGCCTGCTTCTATGTCTGTGTACCATACATATGGAGTACTCACAGAGTCCAGAAGAAGGTATCAGACTGACAGTCTTGAGCTGCCATACGCATGTTGGGAATCAAACTGGATCCTCTGTAAATACAGCTAGTGCTCTTAACCAAAGTCATCTGTCCAGCCCCCAAGACTTTCCAAAACCTGGCCCCACTTAACACAAATACACACTGCCACCCATATGCACCCCCCTTGAGACAAAGCTCTTTGACAGAGTCATTTATGCACTCTCAGGGCTGTCTCTGCAGCCTCTCAAAACTGCATATGCAGTCCTTCTTCTGGGCTGTCTTTTTTCCAAGCATTTAATAGCAAGGACGTTTTAAACAGAAAGAAATGTAGGAAAAATATACGAGACTCATTACATACCACTTCAGATTCAACCATTGAAGACTAACTTTTTCCTAAACTGCTCCAAGTTTGAGACATTGGATGACCATTATTGTTTCTAGTCTTTTTCTGCTGCCACCTTCCTGTTTCTGTAGACCACACAAGTGGCCTAATTCTCAGGTCATAAATTCCCAGCAGGTGTCCTGCAGTCACCAGGGTACTTGGTGGAGGCTGCCAATACTTACTTAGGTAGGCAAACCAAAGCGACCATTTAGCCCTTTCTCTTGGGACATGTTTATCACCTGTTCTGTCTCTCTGGATTGGCCATAAGCAGAGGGAGCAGAGGTTGGGGCCCTGGGCACGCTGGCCTTGAACCCATGCAGATGTTCCCTTTGTTAGGCTAGGGCAGTCAAATCTCTTATCTAATCCTTCAAGGTGACTGAGGCAAACATCACTGCTTGTGTGTTCCTGTGTTTAACTGGTGTTTCATTGTCCCTGTAGAGTACTGGATGCTCTGTGGGCCAGAACTCAGGAGTGGCTGATCCTGGTCCACAGAGCCTATGCTCTGGTAAGGCATGCTGGAGGACAGACTGTACTGCTCATGGCCAGCCCCAGACTACCCCAGTCACTCCCAGAAGCCCACCTTGAGCAGGTCAGGTAGAGACCTACTTCTCTTGTGTCCCCTCTCCCCACTCCTGTCCTCTGCAGGTGGATCCTGTGAAGCTGCGCCAGTCTATCCCCACAGTTCTCTTCAACCAGACCATGATCTCGCTTCCCATGCTGGTCATCTTCTATCCTCTCTTCAAGTGGAGGGGAGACCCCTGCTGCCGAGAGCTACCTACCTTCCACTGGTTCCTTGTGGAGCTGGCCCTTTTCACCCTCGTGGAGGAGATCTTGTTCTACTACTCACACCGGTGAGCTCTCTATGTGCACACAGCTGGCCTCACCCTGGGACAGTTCTTGGTCAGCAGAGGCCTGTTTTCAGCCCCCCCCCCCCAAATTGCCAGAGACACAACTGACTCTCCAACCTGACAATGCCAAGTGAAGGAAGAGCCACCCTATTTGTATGGGAGAATGAGTCAGTTCCCATCCACTTCCTGACAGTCCTTTCTAGGTACCACCAGTTTACTTCACCACTGGGGCTGCCAGGTAACATAAGCCAGCCTCTTCCTCCACAGACTAGAGGAAGGCAAGGAGCAGATGCCAGCTTCTCAAATGTGGACTTCATTCTCACCTTTGCTTTCTGATGATCTGCTCAGGATGGGGAAAGAAAACTATGAATTATCTTTCCAGGCTCCTTCATCACCCAACATTGTACAAGAAAATTCACAAGAAACATCACGAATGGACAGCACCCATTGGTGTGATTTCTATCTATGCCCATCCTACAGAACATGTGGTAAATACAGCCCCTGGAGCCTCGTGGTTCCTCACCCTTTTTCCCCCTTCCCACTGAATGTGGGAAGGTACCTAGTATGCCAAGTACCCAGTGTGTTATTGTATTCTCCCCCAACTCACCTTTTACACACCAACTGAAGAGGAAGGTGAAGCTGAGGTGTGTCCAAAGTTACAAGCCAAGGTTGTCTCCCTAAAGCACCATGCAGGCAGAGTGAACACTCAGCTGGGTGCCTCCATCTGCTACAATCAGCCTTTCTCTTGCAGGTGTCCAACATGTTGCCTGTTCTGGTGGGTCCTTTAGCAATGGGCTCTCATCTGTCTTCCATCACTGTGTGGCTGTCCCTCGCGCTCATCATCACCACTATCTCCCATTGTGGCTACCACCTGCCCTTCTTACCTTCACCTGAGTTCCATGACTACCATCATCTCAAGTAAGCCAACAGTACACTTGCTCAAGTGTCTGCAGCTAAGTATGTGCCAGCCAGGGGAGACACCTGGCTGCAGGGAAGATTCTGACTAGGTAGGGTTATCTTCACCTTTTTCTCTGACACCAGGTCTTTCCTACAGTTGGGATTTTTAACCGTTATTTGGGTTCTGGGTTTACTGAATCTCAGAAACTGTGTGTATAAAAGCTGACACATTTGTATAACATGGGCTCTTTTCTTAGTTTTGAGATGGTATTTTTCTATGTAATCTTTGCTATCATACTTCTCATGTAGACCAGGCTGGCCTCAAACTAGAGATCCTCTTGCCTTTCCCTCTGAGTGCTGGGATTAAAGGTGCCATACAACTGGCCTCATCCCTGGCTTTTCAAAGCTCCATCTACTAGCTTTCTGAGTCACCAGACAGAACACTCAAGTTCTTGGATCCCATCCTGTGAAGCATGGCCTGGGAGCCAGCCTAATGTTGTCCCTTCCCAGGTGTTCTAATGCAGGGAGCCTCTCAATCTATCTGCATAAAGTTCTAACTTCTACACACCAGACTCACATAATGGGGTAAGGAAGGAGATAGAGGCAGGTGGATCTCTGCTGAATTCAAGGCCAGCCTAGTCTACAAAGTTGAGTTCCAGGACAGCCAAGGCTACTGAGAAACCCTCTCTTGAAACTACTACCCCAAAGGAGGGGAGAGGCATGGTGGCAGGTCTTTAATCCCAGGACTCAGTAGGGAGGCCTCTAAAGTGTGAGATCTCAGCACCTGCATAAAAGTCAGCTTTGGTCCTCTGCATACCTACAGCCCCTAGCATTGAGAGAATAGCTGGGGCTTGCTGCTTGACAGCTTAGTGGATTTAGGGAAAAGAACTCCAGGTTCAGCAGAACAAAGTAAGGGAAGGTCAGAGTAGTGGAGGACATCAATGTCCACTCTCGTCTCTGTGCAAGTAGTCATGATTGATACCCAGAAGAAACCTGGTAAACACTTGCCTAACATGTGCAAGGCCCAGGGTTCTATCCTCCAGTTCATAAAGTGGCTCACAACTTTGATGGCAAAACTGGGGAAGCAAAGCCAGTGACAGTTTCAGTTCAGTTTGGTGAAGACTGTCTCAAACACAGTAACAAAAACCCTAGGCAACCCTCAATCAGAACCCTTCAAATGTTCCAGCTCTACTGCCACAGCTGGGCAGCATGGTGACACTAAGCATGGGAGGTTCTCTTTCCTCCTTCAGGTTCAACCAGTGCTACGGGGTGCTAGGCGTGCTGGATCATCTGCATGGGACTGACATCATGTTTAAGCAGACCAAGGCCTACGAGAGACATGTCCTCCTCCTGGGCTTCACCCCACTTTCAGAGAGCATCCCTGATCCTCCAAAGAAGATGGAAAGTCCACTTGGACCATCTGGACTGTTCCCTCACAAGTAGGAGGTGTGGAGATAGCCTAGGTGCTATGCTGCCCTTAACAACTTGGCCACCATACTCTAAGGACTATACCATTTGGGTAAAGGGAATGCAAGACTCCTGCCAAGAAAAGGCCATGATAGGGTCTGGGCTTTCCCTATACTTCTCACATTAGGACCAGGAGTTGAGTTAGGGAAAAAGAACTAGCTATTTGGGCTGGAGGCCAAAGGAGAAAAATCACTTGGTTCTGATACAATCCCCATACAGGTAGATCCCCTGTGGCCAAGGTGGCACAGAGAATAGGGTGACACTGAGACTGGAGGCTTCCTGGCTCCAGAAATTTTTTCCTCACACCCAAAGCTAGGGCACCCTGGGGTAGTCACAGGTCAGATGTGTTGACATGCTAGATACGGTCCGTGCTTCCCATCAAGAAAGCCTGGGTTACTTTCTCCCACTAAAAGACACAAATCCCTCAGAAGGAACAATGACAGCCCTCAAGAGCTTCTCAGGAGCACCCCAGCCCCTGTGCCTTAGCCTGTTTGTGAACTGGGGCTGAACTCATGTGGGGGAGGACCCAAAATCATCTCCCTCAACAACAAACTTCAGAAAACATAGCCCAACAGCAGTCCATCTTTCTTTAAATGTTAAGTCCAGGGAGTACTATAGCAGTGTGGTTTCTCCAGTAAAGTTTTACCAGGCCCCACCCTGGCAGGTCATGGTTAGAAACTACAGGATCCCAAGAACTTGGCAACTAGGTTGGTTGATCTGGAAGAATGCCACCATTACCAATTTGCTAAATCCCAGCACAATTGTGCTGACCTGACACTTTCAGTTCAAGGTTCGTCAAGGCTCCCTATTGTGGTTTAAATAAAAATACTTTTTAAACACAGCTCAGTACAGCAATTTGTACTGTAGTCCCAGCTGCTCAGGGGATTTATGTCCAGTTCAGAGCCAGCCTAGATACAGGAAAATGGATAAGCCAGTTCTCCAGAATAGGGTTTCATTCTGCAGCACTGAGGCCAATGCAAGAGTAGGCCAGCTGGCAACTGAGCACTTTTGCAGGCAGTCCCAGCCCAGTCCTCTGCCCTTGGCAACCTGTGCCCTTTGATTCCTTCAATACCAATTCACTACCCCTTTCTACTCTACCATCACCAGTTGGCAGCCATTCCCTTCCTCATGAGCATCTGAAATGCTTTCTGTGATATCCTCAAAAGGGGCAGGGACAAGAAGCTAAAAATGGAGATTGAGGTACAAAGCCTGTCCCCATAAAGGCCTAATATTGGTAAATAAGGTCTTAATTTCTCCATAAAAGCACGACAAAGGAGAAGCATGTAAATAAAGTGTCTGTTTAACTCTAGTAGATCGTGTTGTCCCTCCCCATACACACTTCAAAACCCCAGGGAAGTAAGAAGGCCACTCAATTGAGGAGCCAGCTGACACTGTCATCCCTAATGATGCGACTGAGGTGGCTCACTGGGCAATCTACAGAATGGAGGCCACTGGTGGCAGCTATCCACTCACCTGGCAGTATGAAATGCTGTGTCAGGTCTTGGAGGAAAGCCATGACCAAGCCATACCTACAGTTCTACAAACACTTTGCACACATCCCGCGGAACGGAAATGCAACTTCACCTTTTCACAAGCTTTACAGTATGCAGAGTCCATGAGGGTCAAGGGGGCTGAGCACCTGGATAGCAGCACCAAGGGCCCTGCCTTAAGTAGATGCCCAGGAAGGAGCCAATAGCACCCTCTTCTTAGAGGCTGTATTTCATTCACACTATGCTCATGCAGATAGCATGGGCTTCTCCATCTGGGGACACACACCAGGCTCATTTCTCAACCCAACAGAAGTGTCCCAGATGGAAGACCAGCCAGTGTTTTGCCTTTTCAAGTTTTTATTTTTATACATTTTTTTTGTATTAAAAAGAAAAGCATAATAATTACCACCAATTACAAAGGACTAGAGCAGGACCAGAATAATGAATCACTTCAGCCTGGGAAGCAGACACTCTCAATAATATTAATGTTATGATACAAGCTCATTCAAGTATTTTACATTTTTTTTTTTTTTTGTCCTGTTGAATGTGATATCCTAGCACATGGTAAAGACAATGTATGAGCATAAGGTGGAACCTTCTCTGAAAAGCCCATGATGAGTTTTCCTTTCCTGTGAGAACTGGGCTGAGTGTTCTCTTCTGCCTCTGCCATCACCACAGCTGGAGGGAGAGTGGGGCTGGGGAGAGGTACTCTGGGGCTCCCATCCAGGGGACCAGGTAACCCAAGCCTCTGGTATACTCCATTAGCCTTGTCTTCATGCCCTTTCCCTTGCTTCCAGACCATCCAAGCAGCTTGCTTTCTTTTATAAATGTCATCAAAAAGAGTGGGAAAGAGCAACAGAACAAAAACATTTAACAATTTGACATGGGGCTCAGCAGCTGTCTGAACCCAGGGGTCCAGGCAGCCTTTTCTTAGATGAGCACATTTGCTCTGAGGCTCAGAGGGCAGAACACAATCTGCCCCTTGCTGGGCCCAGGCTGATGATCAACCCTGGACAGGCAGAGGATGAAGGCGGTTCAGTTTGGCAGGCTGTCTCTGTCTCAGGTCTTGAATCCCATGGGAAGATGGTGATGGGGAAGTGGCTTGCTCTGGTGGCCCCTGCCACTCCTGGCATACTTGTCACAGATACATCGGTCCTAAATTCAAGTGTCTTCAGAAGGTGAAGATGTAAACTACTCTGCAACGTCAACTCCTAATATGTCACAACAAACAAAAACATGCACGCACACACACTCACATATACACAACTCATACATTCCCACCCCTCCTCAGCCTATGTTGAGATGATAGCCTTGTCTTCCTGCCCCAAAGGGGCTTCCTCCCTCAGAGGGGCCTGAGAGGATCAGGGAGAGGATGGCAACCCTAGCTTGGATAGTCTAGATGGGAACCACCTTCCTCCACACTGGGCCTCAAAGCCCTGAGGTTCTGTGGTACTGGATACAGTATAGGGCTGAGCGGGGAAAGGAAGGAGAAAGGAAAGAAAGAAAAGGGTAGCCCACTCTTTGGTGAAGGTGCACTACAGGGCAGGTACCAGACTTCGGGAAAGGCCTTAGTTCCCATCAGCAGACCCTGTTCCTTTATCATTTGAGACAACTGAGTCACAGGAGCTGACACAGGATGTGCACATACTAAGTAAGCACCAGGAGGGCAGAGTGGGGCACGGCACAAGCTAAAAGCAACAAGATACCCAAAGACAGAGGGCAAGTTCTTGCCAGCCTGGGATGCTGTGTCCTAGTCCCAGCCTTTGGGACAACAGAGGAACTCAGTGATGAAGAGGGCCACGCAAACTTCAGGAACTGAGTAAGATCATCACATCCCTTGCACTTCCCGGGTCCCAGTGTGGGGGTGAGCAGTCTCCCCAGCCTGCATGCTCAGTTCATCATCACCCTCCCCAGCTCCCGACGACAGCAGCCTCCAGCCACTCCTCTATCATGTGCAGGGCAGCTCAGGCAGGTGGTGGCTTAAGAAGAAGTCAGGTATACTCTATGTCCGCATATACCTTCCTGCCACAGTGCTTCACCAAACGGCAGGATCCCCCAGCCCTTGGTTCCTCTCACCTCTTGATCCCTCGCAGGGTCAGTGAGAGGGGTGGGCAGAGATGGCTTGCAGGGGGTGGGTGGGTGTATTAAGATGGGAAGACCACACCAGACCCTTGAAGAATGGCACCTTTCTCCACACTGTGAGACAAGCCTCCTTGAGGTCAAAGGTCTTTAAGGTCAGACACAGGTCTAAGCTGTGGCCTTGAGTGGATGTTCACTTCCTTGCCCTGGGGTTGGGGAGACACTCAGGCTGAGGACAAGTGTGTGCCAGACAAGGCCAACTCTGTTTACAACAGTCTGAAGCAAACTTGGCCTTGGGGTTCCGAGGGAAGGGCAGGGTGGGCCTGGTGAGACGACAGCAAGCAGAACAAGGACAGTGGCAGCAGTGTGCAGACAGAGGACATCAGCTTGAGACGATGAAACAGCAGGGGTGTCCTGGGCACAGCTCTGATTGAGCTGCCCTCAACTCTCTTGCCTCCAGGCAGGAGGCCCTGTACATGCAACTCAGTCCCGAGGAAAATTCTAGTTAGTCCAAGCCCAGGGGCATCCCAGGCAGGTGGAGCTCTTCGAGGCTCGAGGAGGAAAACAGGCATTTGGGCATTAGTTCAGGTTCCCGCTCCACAATAAGGCAACTTTTAAAAAAATATTATTTCCAAAAACAGAACAGAAGAAAAAATTCCAAGGAGGGGGAAAGACATCACTTTCTATGGATTAGGTGGGTTCTGACTTTTTTTTTTTTTTTTTTTTTTTTGTCATTTTTTTTTTTAGTGGTCGATTTTGTCTTTTTTTTTTCCTTTTTTTTGGGGTTTTTTTTTTTTTGTTTGTTTTGGGTTTTTTTTGTTTTTGTTTTTGTTTTTTTTTTTTTTTGTTTTTGTTTTTTTTCTGTTTTCCCAAGGATGGAAAGGTCAGAGGAAAAAAAAATAAAATGAATCATCTTTCAATAGTCTCTTCTGGTGTGAGCAGCGTCTCTGGGCTGGGGAGAGGGGGGAGGGTGGGAGAGGCTGAAACTCCCCAACCCCCACTCTGAGATCCTTTGGTTTCCTTCCCCCAGAGGTGGCAGAAGGGTATGTGAAACAGCAGGGGGACATGGTGATGGCAAACCCCAGTTGATGGAGGGGCTGGTGCTTCTGGGGCCCATGGGCACCGCCAGAGCCTTCTGGTGGGCTGCATAGTTGGCTTGAGGGGAGCGGGAAGAGGCAGGGAGACAGGTCGGCCTAATAGCCGCAAGAGGGCAGAAGAGTGATTTTGGTAATCCAGACAAACTATCAATAATTTAAAACTTGATATATATATATGTATATATATATATAAAAAATTTCCCCCTTCCCCTCCCCGCTTAGAAGTTAAGATGGAAGTCATGGAGACAGGAGAGGAAGAGGGAACTTGGAGGCTCCTGCCCAGGGGGCACCACTAATAGCCCAAATGGTGTACACTGCTACTTAGCATAAAGGCCCATCCTAGAAACTCTAGGCCTGTCCCTTCTCTGTCCACTCTCCTGGGACTGGGCACCCCCATGGATCCTCACCCACCCCACCCCTTCTATCCCAAACCCCAGGGGGCTTCTGAGCGTTCACTTTCCCAAAGTCAGTGTGTCCGAGTGCTGGCTTGTCCATTTGGCATCTTCCCGAGTAGCCTGGCCAGTAGGTGTCGTAGGGGGTTGGCAGATCAAAGTGGCAGGCCTGCTGGAAGACTGGGAAGGGCACCGTTTTCTGCCCTCACCGCTGCCTCCTGCTACCACTGGGTGTCGCTTGTGGTTGCCTTCCTCACCCATGGGGGGCTGTAATAGAGGAGTCATAAGTGGTCAGAAAGCACTAGCCACACCACTTTCCAGGACCAATCAATCAGAGGCCTCCTTTCCACCTCCAAATATAGACAAATGAAGTAGGCCCATCCCATACCTTCATGCTGACACTACCAGAAATAAGATAACTGACCAAAGCATAAAAGTAATTTACAAAAACCCCCCTATATTTAGGTCTATATTCTAAAGAGCAGGATCTGATCCTAAAAATTTCTGTCCCCTTCTATAAAGGGATATCCCTTACTGTGGTATATGGCATACAGTATGGTACATGTGTTGGCTCCACAGGGCCACATATACTGGGACTGTCTTACTCCAGCCCTCACTAGGTTCACAAGCTAACAATGAAGGCTGTGCTCAGTCGGCTCTACTATTACCAAAGGCCACCAAAAGTACATTCAAGGTACCAGGGTCAAACCACTGGTCTACCTTAACTAGTCTACCCAGCTACCTACAGGTTCTCTGCACACCCTCTCCTCCCCAAGAGTTGGTAAGAACACAAGCCAGTTTGCCCATCCGTATGTGACATAATTCTACCTGCATTCAACACTACCCTGCAGTGGGCACTGCAAGCAGTACCAGTTTTAAAATAACTGATGACCACTGCTGCTACTTACTTATATCTACCACTTTTTGCTAATAGTTCTCAAAAGAACAGAGATTGCTACATAAAACTTTTTGGTTAAAACCTTTTCTATCTTCTTTTGGAAATGGTCAAACCCAGGGTCTTGAATAAGTTAAACATATAACTTACCACTGAGGTACACCCCCAGCACCAATGATGAGTCAATTAAATTGACTTTAAAGGCAGCCTTTGATACACTCAGAAGCGATACCCAGACTCACCACAGGATGTCACTGTACAGGCACTGCTCCAGACAATGGAGAACTGGACATTAACTTACAAATTTCTCATCTTTCCCAGAAGGAACAAGTATATTTATCAGGATAGCTGGTCCT